GCATGATACATGCATATATGGTTTATACATACATTAGGGATGTAACTCTCATAATTCTTGATCAATAACATTTTTTTCATTATTCCAGTAATTATCACGGATATAATTATAATTATAATAGAGAAGGAGCGGAGGCTAGGAGGTTCTAAAGTGGCCTGTTGAATGATAAGTTGACTGAGGGAGAGGCATAGGGGCAAAGAAAAGGCTGATCTAAGAACTAAATAAAAAATGCGGAGCCATAAATATTGATTGGAGGATAGAGAAAGTAATGTAGATATGGTTAAACAATCAGTCTTATTTACTCTAGAAGGGATTTTTTGTATTTCGTAATTTAAAATAAGACATTGTCTGATTGAGGCATGCCATACCTTCTGTGCATAAGGTTTTAATGTGTGCCTAGGCGCATCTTTTTTTCATAGCTCGACTTAACTTCACTGATGTGCCTTCCCTGCGCCTTGCGCGCATCCTGCCTACAGCAGGGACTAATAATATAATGTGGACAGGCCTTAATGTGTAGATTCTTAAATGGAACCTACACATGTGGCCAAACTATTATTTTGAACTTGCTGTGCCGTTCATTTTAAAGCTGAATTAAAATTGCAGTTTCTAACATAACTCGGCTGTCAAAAAATGACACACACTAGTTTCACATGTATTATATATTAGTGGTCCCCCCTCCAGATGCACACACGCACACACAATAATCTTTTGTTGAATATTTGTACTAGGGTCCTCTTCTAGTACTGTATGAAACAAATAGTATTTCCCACTTCAAGCTTATGCTTTTCTAATATAGCTAGCATGCACCAGGCATATCCTAACATTTCTTCTGGCTTGTCTCTTGATTCCATTATGTCTGGCCAAAACTGCCATGATGTCATATGTCAGAGTTTTTGTGGTAAAAAATTGTAGTAGACTAATGATGATGGCTTTCTAAACACAGGAGATGTCATATAATAATTATCTAGATGCTGATGCAGCTTGGAATTGTGTGTGTGAGTTTGATAAACCAACATGCGTAGTTGTGAAGCACACAAACCCTTGTGGCGTGGCTTCAAGAAGTGATATTATTGAAGCATATAGGCTTGCAGTCAAAGCAGATCCAATTAGTGCCTTTGGCGGTATAGTTGCCTTCAATGTGGAGGTTGATGAGGTAACAAGGTTGTTAGGTATTTGACTGTATTTCGATAGTTCATATATACCAATGGGAACACATATCTCTTTGTTTTATATCTTGACAGGGTCTTGCTAACGATATTCGAGAATTCAGATGTCCAACAGATGGTGAAACTAAGATGTTTTATGAGATAGTTGTTGCACCAAAATATACAGACAGAGGTCTTGAGGTTCTACGTGGAAAGTCCAAGAATTTGAGAATTCTGGAGGCTAGTAAAAACAATAAGGGAAAGCTCTCACTTAGGCAGGTTGGTGGGGGTTGGTTAGCTCAGGAATCAGATGATAAAACCCCAGAAAACATTCAGTTTGATGTAGTTTCTTCTGGGAAGACACCTCAAGAAAGTGAGCTTAGTGATGCCCAGTTTGCATGGCTTTGTGTCAAGCATGTGAAGAGCAATGCGATTGTGATAGCGAAGGTCTTATTTCACTCACTTAGAGGCGGTTAATTCTCATTTTGAATTGAATGTGAAATAGTGAAGTAGTTCCTTCACTAGTGTAGTAATTAAGGTGTTTTATGATGCAGGACAATCACATGCTAGGTATGGGGAGTGGACAACCGAATCGTCTTGAGAGTCTAAGAATTGCATTAAGGAAAGCAGGTGAACAAGTCCAGGGTGCTGCGTTGGCCAGTGATGCTTTCTTTCCTTTTGGTAAACACTCTTTTGACACCGTTTAAAACACAAGAATCGTTTACTTCTTTCCTCACGAATAAATGCTCTTAGGAAGGGATGTTTGTTTTGTGGAACATGGGTTCACTCTAGACATAGTCAAAAAGCGTATCAAGTCAAACCCATTACACAAATTCTACTTTTTGTAAAAAATATACTCCCTTTACGAACTCATCGTGGGATAATGGGCCAGCCCACACAGATTAAGAGCTGTGGGTCCGTGGCTTGGCAATAGTGAACCACCATTGTTACTATAAACTTGGGGTTATCGCCACTAATAATTAATCTTTGTGTGGTTGTTTTGGTTATGGATCACCAGCATGGGGCGATGCTGTAGAGGAAGCATGCAAAAGTGGAGTTAGTGTAATTGCAGAACCAGGAGGGAGCATCAGGGACAAGGACGCCATCGATTGTTGTAACAAGTACGGTGTGACCCTGCTTTTTACCGGTGTAAGGCACTTTAAGCACTAATGTCAGATCTAGAGGTGTCTTGCTCCTGGGGAAGGGCAGTTCTGCAGAGGGTCTTTGGGAGACTTCTTTAGACAATGAACATGCTCCCTCTTAACTTTTTTGGGCAAGACAAGGGTAGGTCTGGTGTCCCAACACCAACCCCCTCCCACTAGGCCCTTGTTTTAGCTGTATCCTACAGTAGACAATTTTGAGTTCTTGAGCATCATGTTTTATTTTGTTCTTTTTTTAAACTATGTGAGACACCTCCATAAGGGAAACTATAATAAAGAAGTTTTACACTTGGGTTGCGAACAAATGATCTCACTATGTTTCAGTTTCAGTGTTTCGGGAGCGACTTAGCGGCTAAAGAATTTTGTGTTACCCTGTAATGCCATCTACGGAGTATATGCTTTGGAGTTGTGTACATATTTAAACGTTCGGGTTTAACATGAGGTAGTCTCGGGAAGGAAGAGCAATGGGGGGGGCTAGTAGTTGGAACTTTAATTTCGTAACACGACACTATTGACACAAAAGAAAAGAAAACATTACTACATGTTTGTACACATGAAAGGACAATATAACATCATGAAACACCTAAAACACTAGCTACTACTCCCTCCGTCCTAATTTTTAGTGCATGTTCACTATTTACAGGGTCAAATTTTATTCACTTTTTTTTATATTTTTGTTAGCAATTTGATAAATTAAAGTACTATTGTCACTACTAGTTTTGTAAATCTTTTGATGTAGTATTTTAATATGTAATTTTTACTCCCTTCGTCCAAATTTAAATCGCCTGTTTTGACTTTTGAGCATATTTAAGGAAAATAAAAAATAAAGTTGATTTTCCGAAATTAACATTACTTTTACAGAGGGGTGATGATAAATGAGAATATAAGGTGAAGAAGAGTAACTTATTTTAGGGGTAGTCTAAGTATTTTATTTTTAAAAGTGTACGAAAACAACTAACAGGCAACTTATTTTGGGACGGAGAAAAAAGGCAAACAGGCAATTTAAAATGGGACAGAGGAAGTATTTTTTAACTTTATACCATTTGTCATATAAAATGAATTGAAAATAATTTTAGTCAAACATCGTAAATTGAAAAAGGCACTATAAATTGAGACGGATGGAGTACTACGTATATTTTACTCTGTATATGAAGTGGAATTCATGCATTTCAATAATAAAACTACAATTACTTTTGAGAAAATAATAAAGTTCTTTATATTCCAAGCGATATTTTAAAATTGTACTCCGCATACGTTCCAACAAATGGATGTGTCTTTGGTGGATCTAAGAAATTTTTTATTGTTAACTACACGAAATTCCTTACAATGTTGCATGGTTAAATCATCTGCCCATAGAAGAGTTGTATACCATTTTTTATATGTCATCATCGTTCGTGAGACTACCCAGCCCCAATGGGAGGGGTTGGGGTGGGGGGTTAGGATGCCAAATTAAAATAAAGAATAATAAAAGAAGAGAGATAAAGAAAGAGAGAGAATAGAGGTATGCTTTTTTTTTTTATTTATGTAGTACTATTGGGTCGTTGCTGCCTTTTTTTCTAAAAAAAAAATTCTTATCGTAAGCCCATAAAAAATTTTATATTCTAACATCTTTGACTCATGCTTAAAATGGGCAAGACCCATCAATGTAATGGAAAATATTGATCATACCACCTTTTTAAAAACATCTCTACAACAACAAATCCACTAGAATCAAACAAAATATAGGATCTCTATCATATCCTATAAAATACTTCCTTTGTCCCAATTAAATTGTCTGTTTACTAAATTGTCTATTTACGATTCACAAGATAATACTTTATTCAACTTTTTTTATTTTTATTAGTCAGTTAATAAAATAATATAGTCATATCGCCACTAATTATGAAGATCTTTTGATGTACTTTTTGAATATGTAATTTTTTATTTTTTTAATTCTACACCATTTTACATATAAAATGATTTGAAAACAACTTCAGTCAAACATCATAAATCGAAACAGATGATTTAAAATATGATGGAGGGAGTAATTTTCTTTTTGCTCATCCAAAAGGAATTCAGTTTCTACTTAAAATAAAGAATGAATGACCCACAATTCTTCTCTTCTGTAAACAAATTTTAACTACTCCCTCCGCCACTAAAAATATGGGAGGTTTTATTTTTAAAAGCCTTTAAGGGGAATGTATTTTAGTATTGAGTTTCTAAAAACGTCTTGAATGTGATGAGTGAAAGTAAGATTTGATATATAGATTAATAGTGATTAAATGTCATGTGATAGGTAGATTAAAAATTAATAGGGACAAAAACAACTTTTTAATAGAAATGAGAAAAGTTCTTTGGGTTGAATAAAAAAAGAAAAGAAAAAAGTTTTCAAGGAGGGAGGGAGTATAAAAATTTTCTTAACTCCATAAAAGTCGGACAATGAATTTTTTTTGGAGAACAAATGAAACGAACAGTAAATAACAATACAAAAAACCTAACAATTTTATTTGTTTACACTTTCTTTTTCTCCTTTTCTTTCTTTCACTAGATTATTGCACCAAGATGCCAATAAGTGCCAAACTATCGTCAACCATTTTAAGACATAATAAAAAAACATCCATTTTATACACCAAATAAAAGGTGGATGATGCCATCCTCCTTTCCAAAGACTGGAAATAAGTCTAGACAAAAACATAGAGAAAGAATCCTTTTTTTTAATAACTCAAGTTATACAGAATGAAGAATGTGTATGCATTTGCCCATAATATTTTCACATCATAAAACCAAATGAAGCATCACACACCTTGGCTTGGTGGAATGCACATAGTTTACTACTACTCATAAGCCAAAACTTCTCAAGGGTCACCTGCCATTAGTTTGAACAATGCACATATGCAATTCATAAGCAACTTGCAAGAATGCTAGTGAAATATGAAATTATTTCTGAATTCTCAGCAGTGGAGGGAATACATGAAATTGCTAAAACTTGAAAAACAAAACGTTGATTGGTTGGTTAAGGACTTAAGGTTTCATTCCATGACAACTTTGGCCCCAACTGCTTTCATCTTCTCAATTATCTGCTCTCCTTCTTCCTTTGACACACCCTTTTTAAATATTGCAGGCGACTTCTCCACCAAATCCTTTGCTTCCTTGAGACCTAAATCAGTGAAACCGCGGACCTCCTTGATTATCTTGATCTTTTGAGAAGCATCATAAGACTCTAGCTTTAGCTCAAACACGGTTTTCTCGGGTTTCTTTTCTTCCTCGGCTGCTCCGGCTGTGGGACCCTTCTTCATAGACATTACCCCCACCACAGAACCCAACCTCTTCATCAAAATCCCAGACAGCTCTGCTACTTCAACCAGTGAGAGCCCGGAAACTTCATCAACAAGCCTCCACACTCTGTCTGTTGGAGGACTGCGATGCTCTGTTGGATCAAATGTTGAAGGGTCATAATCGGCTGGGAGCCTTCTCTGGTCGATCTCAACTCCTTCACCTTCTTCTTCCTCTTTCCTGGCACTTTGTTGAGCAAAGTTCCGAGTCCACCTGGCAGCAGGATGTTGTGCAGTTGCATTGTACAGAATAGGATGTCTTAAGAGTACATGAGGCAAACGATGCCTTATCTGTGAAACCAAACTCATTACACTATGCAATCGATGACTAATAAATAACCATCTATTTGCTCCCTCTCATGCAGCAAATCAACCCCTGTTGAATCCAGAAACCAATAAAGAATTTATGCAATCATAAGCCAATTCAACTTCTGAAGAGAAAAATACATCAAAGCCCATCCTTAATATGAGGTCAAAAGCTAATATGCTAAAAATATATATATGATAACAATGGTAAATCATAGCTTTCAGGTTTTGAGGAAGAAAAATTAAACACTTCAGAGACAGATATGATCATAAGATACCACACAAAGTGTTGCTGTACTATTAGCATCCACATACAAGTAAATTTTAATTATTTCTGTGCCTACCTTGTAATCCATGACTACCCAGATAATTTTAATCCCATATTCACATTTTATACTACAAAAATACACCTTGGTGATACACCATTGAAGAAATGCACAAAATATCAGATCTTCACACCATATACTACATAAAAGTTCCAGGTGTTAGAAAACTAGAATTTTGTTTGGACGTATTTGAATCCAAATCCATCAATCTATTTTATTCTCTCTCCATCCCTAAATGTTGATCCTTTACGAAATGTTGTGCTAAACTATGACGGCCTTTGACCATTAATTTCTCTTGAAATACATAGTCAAAAGTGATTTACTCCAAAATTTACAAATTATGAAACTATTTTTCATCATAAACAAATTAAAATTATGAAGCTATTTTTCAGCATAAACTTTGACCAACAAATTTACTTTGTCAATTTAGAGAAATTAATAATCAAAGTTTGGCAGTTTGCACCAACTCCGACAATAACCTATCAACCTACATTTTGGGACAGAGGGAGTGTATAATAATGCAGTTTCTTTCGACAATTTTCTGTGCAAAATGACTGAGGAGAAAATGTAAACTTACTGGGAGGCAAGGGTTGGTAAGGTTTTGCCTTGAGGACAGTCTCAAGTTTCATTATAAGTTTATTTAAATTTTACTAATTTTGCATTGAAAAATGATATGAGTAGCTATATTGTGGTTCCCAAAAACAAAATCCAAAATTTTTGAAATCTATCCCAACTAAGAATGGAAAGGTGAAAACAGCTCATCCTCTCTGTATAAATCAAATTAAAAACTTTCACTTTTCACCAAAGTATTACGAAAATATTCAGATTTATAATGCTCCCTGCATTCCATATTGTTGGTCCCTTTTTTTCAATTTGGTGTGTACCGAAATGTTTGTATCATACCACCAATTCAAAAATCCAATACCAACCAAATCCTTACACTTCTCTTAACAGTTAATAGAATAGATCCTCCTAAAATTATAAAAAAACACTGGAAAACACACAATTTAAAAGAATACAGTCGACTCAGTCATTGAAATGAAAATATACAATCAGAAGAAAATTGCAAAGCTGAAAACAAGTATAACACAGCAAACACTGATCTAAAGCATGAAATCAAGAGCTATAGAGTGGTGTTTTATACACATTTTCTAAAATAATAGTGATAGATGATCTGTGGAGTAGTGTTTCAGATTAGGAATTTCGACCCTCTAAAACATGTACTAATTGTAATTGAAAACAATAATGTTTCTTTGAGAATATTTGAAAATGTTCGAATATTATGAATCGAAGAAGATGAAGAAGAAGAGATACCTTAGGTTGGGTTGGACGTATGTGGAAGAATTGGGCGGATCCACTCGTCCGACTGGCAGAGTTGCAGAGAATCGCAAATGAGAGGGCTAGGGTTGAAAATGGAAAATTGGGGGAGAACCGGAGTGGCGGAGTCGCTGGATATGCCTTGAACTTAATGGAGTTAATCGCAATTGTGGTCCGTGGATATATGTACAAATAGTCTCTTTCGTTTTTCATAAATAAGGGAAATAGTTTTTTTACATTGACTTTTGCAATTTAGGACTTAAATTTTTTTATTCCCTAAATAGAACTTAATAATGATCTAGTGTGAGGAATAATGTTCAATAATGATGGACATTTACTTGAATAATGACGATTTGATAATGACCAAAAGTCCTACATTGGAAAATAAAAACATATGGTCCTATATTGGAAAAGTCATTATGTTTTAGTTCTATTTAGGTAAATTTCTCTATAATTAATCCTTTTTTAAGAAAAACATAAAGCACACAGAGCATAAGCATACTGTGTGAAAATGTGAAGCATGTAACAAAAAAAGAAGTTAATCTCATGAAGTTGTTCTCGATTTCGTGGTTAAAGACATGGAATTATTTTTTTCTAGCTCTTTTCTCACACGATACTACCTTAAAATAAAAATACTTGAAAAATAGAATAATGTCGAGCTCACATAAGACATTGTATAATGATACGACAATATCACTATAAAAGAGATAGAGAATTCGTTCTAAGAGTTAAACTAAAAAATACTTCGTAAAAGATATTGTACTATGGTTCAAAGTTACATATCACAACTAAAATTTCAGATTAGTTTTTTTACTATTACATGATTGACATCTTTACATAATAAGCGTGTGTTAAATACATTTTAAGAATTTTTTAATATAGGGACTAATTATGTTATGGTTTTTTATCACAGGGACTATTTGAAAACTTTTGAAATATTGAGGACTATTTACCCACTTATGTAACACCATAAGGACTATACATGCTGATGGGTGTATTTCACCCATGACCGGTCAAAAGTCAAGACCGGATAGTTGACCGGTCAAAGAAGTCAAACTTACAAGAGAGGTCTGGATCGTCGGCGAAGGGATGACTGGTTGACCGAAAGGTTTACCGGTATACTTCGGATAGTATACCGGTCAAACTATGCCGGCATCTAATTCATCTCTTGAAGTTGGCCACGCCAACCTACAAGAACCAACCGGTGCAAGTGTCGGCAGGAGGAATCCAAAAGGACTTGGACTGTAGTGTTTGGAATTGCAGGGATGCTGAGGGAATATTTCCAAACCAGAACGCGACAAGGGCGCCACCTCCCGCGCAAGATGACAAAGCGGTGCAGGACCCAGTCACCTCGCAGCACATCAGCAGCGTGCCCCCACGTGGGCGCACGTGGCCTTGTCCCCCCAGCCTAGTATATATACCTCTTGTAACCCTCGAGGAAGGGGATCCGAATTCACTCTCTAAACTCCCTTGTAAAAGTGACCGTGCATTCTCTGTTTTAATATAATTCGGGCTACAGGTGTTCCACCTAAAGTCCTACCAATCATTCTGAGTGTTTTTACTTTCTTTACTTTACTCAATCGTGCCAACTATTCTAGACCCGGTCTAGTATAGTTTGGCCGGTCAAGTAATTTACACCATCATTTTTGGCGCCAACCGTGGGACCGTTAAGGTTTCTTCTCTTCTAAACACAAACCTACCCACAAAAACACCACTCAAAATGTCTTCAAGCCAACAGATCAACGCCACCTCTGCTCAGATACAAGCCACCGCTGAAGGTACCAGCATCCCCATGGCTGTTACCCTGCCGACCGTTTCTGCTCCAGTTTTGCCGTTGGGACTAAGCTCGGTCCCAACAACTAGCATGGTCAGCCCATTCACGGCCCCCGTCCCTTCCGCTGGACCAAGGGTCACTTTCCCACCAAGCATGACCCAGTTCATGAATGACCCAGCCAACCTGCAGGCCATTCAGGGCTTTGGCCAGGTCATGGCTATGTGCCAACAGAATGGGGGGATGCCTTTCCTCCCTGGTATGTTCCCGTTCGCTCTTCCAGGCACGGGAACCATGCCCCTACAAGCTCCGATGGCGGTGTCTCCCTTCCAAACGCCGGTGCCGCAACCATCACCTTTCCAGCCGCAGCTAGTCAGCGCTGTGGCCCCCATCAACTTGGCAGGTGCGCTTAACGCCGCGGGGCCGTCGCGTCCCCCGCAAGGTATGAATCCGCTAGTCACTCCCGATGGTCACTGCGTCTCAGTTGAAAGCGGAGACGACGAGTGGGACGTTCCAAGGACCCACAAGAAGAAGAAAGGAAAGACCATACGCCCTGCAACTTCCCGAAACTCCGCCTTCGAAAGGCTGGGGGATAGGGAGGAGGGCCAGAGGAAGTCAGCCAAGCTGAGGCTGGGGCAAAGCGTTGCTCATGTCAGCGCGTTTGCCCGGCTAGGTGAGGTGAGGGAGGCCGAACCTGCCCGCACCCAACGCTCCCGGTCAAACCGGCAGGAGCCGGCCAGGACGAGGGTCTCTCGCCAGGAGGAGGAGGCAGAAAGCCAACCCAGGGTACCGGTGGCTAACCGGTTAAACATCCCCAATGATCGCGTCCAGTAGATGGAGGCAAAATTGGAAAGACTGGAGAAGAAGGTCGGGGAGAAGAATGACCGGGACAAGCCCCTCGCAGGGTCCCCGTTCACCACAAGGGTTCATCTGACACCTTTCCCGCGAAAGGTCAAGATAGACGCCCCAAGATTCACCGGGAAGGAAGATCCAGAAATTCACCTGGACTCCTTCAATCAGAGTGCAACCATGAACGGTTGTACAGACGAAGAAAAGTGCCTTCTTTTCTTCCAAACTTTGCGAAATCGAGCCACTGAATGGTTCAACAAGCTTCGCCCAGGAAGCATTGACTCATTCAGTGACTTGGCCTCAAAGTTCAAGGCCAAGTTCCAGAAGAACTGTACTAAGAGGAAGAAGTTCACTTATCTTAGTACAGCCGGGCAAAGGGAATCCGAGAACCTTACCCAATTCCTTACCCGGTGGAAGGAAGAGGTAGACAAGGTGGAAGAGATGGATGACAAAACCGTCTTATCTCTCCTCTTGAGTGGCTTACGTGCCGGGGAACTGTACAAGGAGTTCTGCCGGAAACCCCCGGCCACGTACCAAGAGGCCTATCACACTGCATGGGAGTTTGCTGAGGCTGAAACTCAACTCCGGGCGAAGAAGGAAGCCGAACATGGGTTTAAGCCCAAGCCGGTGCAGGTCAAAAAGGAAGAAGCACCGGTAACCAGCCGGCCAAGGCACCATTATGACCCGGTCGTCCGCATGGTCAACACAGAAGAGTGCCAGGAGGTAAGGAAAGTACCGGCTCCCTACCCGGTCATTCCTCCGGAAAATCCTACCGGTCAAACTCGACGGCAGTGGTCGGGCACATATTGTTCGTACCATCGGTCAGATTCCCATAACACTTCTGAGTGCAAAAGTGTTAAGGGAGTCATCCGGCAAATGATAGACAGCGGAGAACTGGGCAAAGATTATTTGTAGAAAGCCCAGGAGAAGAGTCACCAATGGGTAAGGCCATCTATCCCGGAGGATGACCGGGACAACGACCGGCGGAGGAATAACCGGCCGAAGGAGCGGCAACCTGCCCCTGAAAAGGAACACATCGGCATGATCTTCGGCGGACCTGAGGGTGGAGACTCAGCCGCGCAACGGAAGAACTGGGTCCGGAGCATTTACGTTGGTGAGGTAAGCGCTGAACCGCCCAGGCGTAAACATACTAGGAGGGAGCCGATCGTCTTCACTGACCGGGATCTCCCTCCTACCAGTGAAGATCACAATGATCCATTGGTCATCACCATGGACATTAATGGGGTGGATGTCGCCCGGGAACTTGTTGACACCGGCAGCAGTGTCAACATCTTATACCTGGAAACTTTCCAAAAACTCAGGTTGTGTCGGACACAACTTGAGCCCCTCAAAACCCCTCTATCAGGCTTCACGGGAGACACCGTGGAGGCTGAAGGGACCATAGTCCTACCGGTCGAACTAGGATCGGGCGAAAAAACCGTATGGAAGAAGATGCGGTTCATAGTTGTGGACATCAAATGCGTCCACAACGCAATCCTTGGAAGGCCGGGCATCAATAAGGTCGGGGCGGTAATTTCCATGCCTCACCTGTGCATGAAGTTCCACACTCCAGGTGGTGTGGGTGAGGTGAAAGGCGACCAGAGGAACGCCCGGGAGTGCTATGCCCGGGCAGTCAAGAAGATGACCAAGGGGGTCAATGTCATCTCCCAAGAGATCACAAAGGGAGAGACCCGGGAGAAATTGGAGCCCGAGGCCGAGACGGTGGAAATCGAACTTCACCCGGGTGATTCTTCAAGGATGGTCAGAATCGGAGCCAATCTCCCAGAAGACCTCAAGGCGGAGATTACGCGGGTACTCCGAGAATACGCGGGCATATTTGCATGGAGCGTGGCAGATATGCCCGGAATCGACCGCTCAATCATCTGTCACCGATTGGCAGTGAGAGATGGAAGTCGACCGGTACGCCAGAAGAAAAGGTACCTGGCCAGTGACCGGCGGGACTTCGTCAAGAAGGAGGTGAAGGATCTCCTCAGTGTTGGTCACATTCGGGAAGTCAAGTACCCGGATTGGTTGGCCAACGTGGTTCTTGCTCCCAAGGGGGACACATGGAGAATGTGTGTGGACTACNGATGGATTCATACCCCCTCCCCAGTCCAGATCAAATGGTGGACGAAACTGCGGGGTGCGAACTCCTGAGTTTCATGGATGCGTTCAAGGGCTACCACCAGATATACATGGCCAAGGAGGATGAAGAGAAGACGTCATTCCTCACACTCGAAGGAACCTACTGTTACCGGGTAATGGCGTTTGGCTTGAAGAATTCGGGGGCAACCTACCAGCGCATGGTGAACAAGCTCTTCAAGCCACTGTTGGGAAAGACCATGGAGGCATACGTCGATGACATGCTAATCAAAAGCCAGGTATCTCTCAATCACCCGGCTGATATGCGCGCCACATTCGATATCATGGCAAGATACAACCTCCGATTGAATCCCAAGAAGTGCGTCTTCGCGGTTCGTACCGGGAAGTTCTTGGGGTTCATGGTGACCAAGAGAGGAATAGAGCCCAACCCAGAAAAAATCCGGGCTATCACTGAAATGCAGGCCCCCACATCTGTGAGGGATGTCCAAAAGTTGACCGGTCGTCTAGCGGCACTCAGCCGGTTCCTTTCCCGGTCAGCTTAGAGGTCCCTGCCTTTCTTCAAAGTCCTGAAGAAGGCCAACACTTTTGCATGGGACGAAGAGTGCCAGAGGGCATTCGACGAGCTGAAAGAGTACCTAGTGTCAGATATTGTATTGTGTAAACCCCAGCCGGGTGAAACTCTGTATCTGTACCTGGGAATTTCCCCAAATGCTGTAAGCTCTGTTTTAATAAGAGATGATGGGGCACAAAAGCCTATTTATTATGTGAGCAAAGCACTAAACGGAGCTGAAAGTAGATACACAGCAATGGAGAAAACAGCCTACGCGCTTTTCATCTCTGCATAAAAGTTAACATCCTACTTCCAAGCTCACCCGGTAGAAGTCTTGACTGACCAACCGCTGGGTGCAGTGTTGCGAAATTCAACATCCTCCGGGAGGATGGTAAAGTGGGCCATGATGTTAACTCAATTCAACATTGAGTACCGGCCAAGGTCAGCAATTAAAGGACAGGCCCTTGCAGATTTCTTGGTCGAAATGACCGGTCTAACTCCAGACCTACCAGTCAACAAACCCGCCGAACAATGGTGGGAGATGGCAGTAGATGGGGCATCTGGCCCTAAGGGGTACGGGGGTGGTGTAGTGTTTACAACCCCAGAGGGTTTCAAGATCTACCATGCAATCGTTTTCAACTTCAAGCTGACGAACAATGAAGCAGAATATGAAGCTCTAGCTGGAGGGCTCAGACTTGCCCAAGCCCTGAAGATCAACCGGGTCAGTATCAAATCTGACTCCAGTCTGATTGTTGGGCAAGTAACCGGCAACATGGAAGCCAGAGAAGGACGAATGGCGCAATACAAGGACCTGATACTTGCCTTGTTGAAAAGCTTCGAGGAATTCAGGATCGCCCAAATCCCCCGGGCGGAAAACGCAGATGCAGACCTTCTCTCCAAATTGACGCAATATGCTCCTGAGCATGTTTCAAAACTTGCCCGGGTGGAAATTCTGGACCGTGCCAGCATCGAAAAATTGGAAGTCGCCGCCATAACAGCAGCAGGCCAATCTGACCGGTCAAACTTGATCGGGGCAGATGACGACTGGATGTATGACTTGATGGAATACCTAATGGACGGGACCTTGCCGGAACAAGATGACCGGGCAAGAAAAGTGAAGCTCAGGGCACCCCGGTTCCAAGTCCTTGACGGAAAGCTATAGAAGAGGGCGTTCGGGGGACCCCTCCCGAGGTGCCTAACCAACCGGGAGGCTAAACGGGTCATAGCAGAAGTCCATGAAGGTGTATGCGCGGCGCATCAAATGTCCCGCACTCTTTCCCAGCGCATCATCTTGTTGGGGTATTACTCGCCAACAATTGTCCAGGATTGCGAGAGGTACGTCCAGAAGTGCAGAACGTGCCAAGTGTTCTACAAGTACCCCGGTAGGCCGGCGACCTACTATCACCCCGTATCAAACGTCATCCCTTTCGCTAGATTCGGGGTGGATATCATTGGGGCATTCCCAATCGCTCAAGGAAGGAAGAAATTTGTAATCGTGGCCATCGATTACTTCACCAAATGGATCGAAGCCGAGGCGTTGGCCAATATCACCACGCAGCAATGCAAGAAATTCATTTGAAAGAACATCATCACGAGGTTTGGAGCTCCCATGAACCTCATCACCGACAATGGCCCACAATTCCGAAATCCGAGATTCACCGAATATTTGGAGGGCTTCGGAATCAAGCACAACTGCTCTTCGGTGGCGTATCCCCAAGGAAATGGCCAAGTTGAAAACGCCAACCGAACAATTGTGGATGGCCTAAAGAAACAGCTGGGAGAGGCAGGAAACAAGTGGCTGGAAGAACTCCCACATATCATCTGGGCGTTCCGAGTAACACCCAGGAGGGCTCATAGGGAAACTCCATTCTCCCTAACCTATGGGTGTGAAGCAAGGCTGCCCATCGAAGTTGAATTCCCAACGTTCCGGGAATCAAATTATCAGCCCCAGCAAAACGAAGAAGACCACTTGGCCGAGGTCAACTTGGTCGAAAAACGAAGAATGGTCGCGGTGGTTAAGATGAGCACATACCAACAAGTTGTGAAAAAGTACCACGACAACAAGGTTGGGCCGCGATACTTCCAAGTTGGAGATGAAGTCCTACGAAGAAGAGAAGCAAGTAGACCAGGCGATGGGGGAAAGCTGGCCAAAAACTGGGAAGGCCCATACTGGGTGAGAGCCATCGTTCGCCCAGGAACCTACCGGTTAGAAACTCTAGATGGTGTACCGGTAGAAAGAACTTGGAATTCCCACCATCTTCGCAAGTTCTACAAATGATTGTAATACTAGGCGAGGCCTAACTACATTATCAATCAAAACGATGTCCGATACTCTACGTGGCAACAGCAAAAATGATAGGCCGAACCTATCCTAGGAGGGCTTCCCGGGTGGATCGAATCCACTTGGATAAGCCAACTGAGACACAGGCCCGGACCTGGCACGCTGGTTACTACACCGGTCTTGCTCAGTATAATAGAAAAAATATTAAACCCGGAAGAGGGGCCCGGAAGAGGGTATGCCTGCAAGAGGGCTGGACCTGGAAGAAGGTTCGAACCGTACTTACACGGGCCCATGAGGTTTGACCGGTATCGGGGAATCAGCCGGTATCGTCAAATTGATTGGGGACTAAAAGATGCCCATTAAAAGAAATAGAAGGGGATCGTCCACCGTGGCGCATCCTGTTTACCCCTTCTCAGGGAAGACTTGAACGGGGGGGTGAGCTAAGGCCTTCCCGGGATAGTAGAAATCAAAGGGCCATTAAAAGACTTAATCACCCGGAAGAGGGGGCCCTGGAAGAAGGGTGCATTTGAACCTTGGAGAGGGTTTGAAACCATTCGACATGGTTAAATCTCCAGTATTCTTACCGGTTAAGGATACTTCAAGAATTGCTAGGTTACAGGTGCTTCCATCTACTACCTACCGGTCAAAAAAAAAAAGGAATACCCCGGCCGGGTATCGATATAGCGGAAATTCAAAAGTCTACCACAAAGGAGTAGACCGGTCAAACCATGGAGTGGGAATCCACCGGTCAAGCTACATTTTATCGAAGAAAGTTTCAAAAGCCAAAATGGAGTTCAGCGGGTCAAACTTATTTCAAGTTGACCATCGAGGTGAAGACGTTCAAAAGGCAGAAGTTGAAACTCCACCGGTTCACTGAAGTTCAATGGGGCAAAACTCAGCATATTCAAAAGCAAGCCAAGAAAGCGAAGATTGAAGTTTTACCGGTCAGAGTTACTCGGGTTGATCCTTGAGGAACAGTGATCAAGGAGAACTTTGAAGTATGACCAGTCGAATTTCAAAAGTGGCTTGACTTATGTACCGGTCAAATACCCTATGATATGGCAAAATATCAATCAAGGAGCGAGTAGATGTGAAAGATTAACCGGCACGGAAAATTAACATGACATTCAGCACAAAATAAGAATGTTGATTGTTTACAACTACACCGGGCATTCCCGGGGAAATAGGTTTGAAGTCTTACAAAACAATCCAACCGGGCGCAGCCTGGAAGTTCATTCAAGGGGGAAGGGGGGAGTTGGTTCTTCTTCTGGGATCGGTGCCAGGCCGTAGGAAGCAGCGGTGAAATCCGGGTCCCTTTTCAGCAAAACCCGATGGGAGGCGATCCGGTCCTTCTTCTGACCACTCTTGAATCCAAAGGATCCGATGGCGGTGATCATTTTTCTCCCTTCAGGTTCCCGGTATAGGAACCTAAAGGATTTCATGGTTGCCTCTGGCGTCGCCGTCATCACCCGGGCAGCATCGGCTTTGTTCTCTTCAACCCAGGCGGCTGCGCGCCCGGGGAAGGTTTCTTCCTTCTCCGCCATCTCCCTCTTAGCCTCAGAAACTTCATCCATAAGCCGGCCGTTCTCCTCCTTCAGCTGGGAGTTCTCCGCCTTCATTGTCCCGGCCATACCAGACAGACGGATCAGCTCATCTCCCTGGCTCTTCAAAATTAGGGCTAACTCTTCTTTTTCCTTCTTCAGCCAGGCAACCTCCGAAGGGGAGCCCATCCCCAGCTGCTCAGCTGCATAAGGCCCAATCTCCCCCTTCTGCACAAGTAGAGAACCCGGTTAAAACCATTACAAAGTAAGTGACCCAAATTCAACAGGGATAGAGAAAAGTCTTACCTCCTTCAGTCTCAGGCCTAAGTTAACAAAGGCATCTTCAATAGTCTGGGAGGCCGGCTCAGAATCTGACCTTGTCCTCTTCTTTGCATAAGAGGGGTGGGTGGTGGCCACCTTCTTCTGACGACGCCCGGTCTTTTCCTTGCCCTTCTCTTTTGACCGGTCGGTGGGGGGCTCATCATCGTCCAAATCATGGACTTCCACGGTCTCAGGTTGGACCGTGAAAGTTTTGGCAGCACCGATCTGAGAACCACCGGTCTCTCCTTCTGGCTTATCTTCGGGCATGACATACTCCTCGAACTCCATGTCTGCAAAAAAAAAATGCTAAGTATGAATGACAATACCGGTTGAATAAAAGACGCAAGATGAACGAGAAATACCTGGGTGGGAGTTGCCCTCAGCCTCTGCAGTGTTGCCCGGGGAGGGTACCCCGCGCCCCGCTGCGTCATGGGCCTGGGAGGTACCCTCACCACCCGATTCAACCCTCCAAACCCAGCTTCCATAGTTATACTTCCTCCCAGTGAGTGGATCACCATGGAGGAGGATTTCCAGACTCGCTTCCAAGTCAGGGGAGGTGGTCGGTGTGGCATACTCGTGGTTAAGAAGATGGTCGTTCCATTTTAGACCGGCCAAAGGGGTGACAAAAGGAGGGAACTCAATAAAGACAAACTTTTCTTTCCATCCCCGGTTGCTTTGAGGGACGTCAGAGATGAATTTCCTACCGGTTCGACCTTTGAAGTACACAAAACCTTCGCAACCGGTTCCCCCCGGCAAGACTTCGAAACAGAAAAGAAAGAGACGTAAGGAGGGCTCAATTTTGTGATGGGAGCAAATATTTACAAAGGAGTGGAGATACCGGTGAGCATTAGGAATTATTTGACCGGGCAAAATCCTGAACGCATGGCAGACTTCAGTTAGGAGGGGGCGAAGGGGAAAAACGATGCCCGCGCCCAGTGATATGGTGTGAAACCCTATCCTATCTTCCCGGTGGGGTTCAACAATGTTGGGCCAGTTGGGTTCGTACAAAAGGGTATACCCATCCGGGAGCCTCCTACGAATTTTATTCAAGGCGATTTTGGATACATGGGAAGGAATGTCAAGGACGTAGAAGGTGGGGAGCGGAAAGTAACCGGCGGCGTGAAGCCGCTCCTCCCACGCATCCCGGGTTTCGTTTTCAGGGTCATAGGGACCCGGTTCGTCATCAACCGGTCCATCCCTCTCCGTGGCAACCTGACCGGGCATTTGATTTACAGGCTGCGGTTCAGGTATGGAGGGGTTGGGAGCCCGACCGGGCATGGGGTCAAGAGAAGAAGGCCCGGTCGAAGAAGATGAGTTGGAGCCCTCAGAGGAACAGTCCTCTGAGGACGAAATCCTATGACTATCTAAAGAAGACATGACCGGGAAACTAATTAGAGAAGAACGGGGAAACTTACTTGATTTGGAGGGATAGATGGCGAAAGAGAGGAATTTGACCGGCGAAAGCTCTGGAGTGCGAAGTGCGAGAAGTGAAAAGTGATGAGGGTTGGAGGCCTTTATATAGGAAGAGGGAGACCAAAGGGTGGCGACGTGGCCTATGCAGAGCACGCCGCGTCATGCGGCGCAATGATGACCCGCTGGCAGGTGAAGCGACGGGTCTGCAGCCGACCGTTTCAGCGGTCAGTACGCGACACGTGGCGAGATTCCAAAATTTAAAATTCAAATTTTAAAATTTCAAGCGGGAAAAGCCAAAATTCGAATTTAAAAGTCCTGTTTCGGATTTTTTACTTCCCGCTTATGACAGAATTGCATAACCGAGAAGTGGAGGGCTTAATGATGGGTGTATTTCACCCATGACCGGTCAAAAGTCAAGACCGGATAGTTGACCGGTCAAAGAAGTCAAACTTACAAGAGAGGTCTGGATCGTCGGCGAAGGGATGACTGGTTGACCGAAAGGTTTACCGGTATACTTCGGATAGTATACCGGTCAAACTATGCCGGCATCTAATTCATCTCTTGAAGTTGGCCACGCCAACCTACAAGAACCAACCGGTGCAAGTGTCGGCAGGAGGAATCCAAAAGGACTTGGACTGTAGTGTTTGGAATTGCAGGGATGCTGAGGGAATATTTCCAAACCAGAACGCGACAAGGGCGCCACCTCCCGCGCAAGATGACAAAGCGGTGCAGGACCAGTCACCTCGCAGCACATCAGCAGCGTGCCCCCACGTGGGCACATGTGGCCTTGTCCCCCCCAGCCTAGTATATATACCTCTTGTAACCCTCGAGGAAGGGGATCCGAATTCACTCTCTAAACTCCCTTGTAAAAGTGACCGTGCATTCTCTGTTTTAATATAATTCGGGCTACAGGTGTTCCACCTAAAGTCCTACCGGTCATTCTGAGTGTTTTTACTTTCTTTACTTTACTGAATCGTGCCAACTATTCTAGACCCGGTCTAGTATAGTTTGGCCGGTCAAGTAATTTACACCATCACATGCATATAACTCTTGTGGAAAATAGAAAGAAAAAAAGGGACACGGGGAAGGCGAGAAGGGAGATACGAACTTGGTTTGTCAGTGAGAGGTAAAAGAAGCGCGTCCACTCAACCACATGAAGTACCAGTTAGATTGTCTGTAATACCCCCCTCCCCCCTCAAGCCAACACCGGCCCCTCCCTTCGTGGCCACGGCCCGTGAGGGCAACCATAGTCACGATCACGCCATCCAACCATTTCAATTTTTATAATTTCCTTCTTTAAAGAGCTCCATGTGACCCAAAATTCATTTTTTTGCTTTATCTCCTTTCTTCAAATTTCAAACCCAACTCCTCCTCTCTTGTATTTAAACCATCAAATCTCTATATTTTTTAACACACTCATGTCTTAATTTTATCTCTCTTCTCTTTTCTATTATACCAAAAGATGAATAATTTGTTCACTTTTTTCTGATACGTGTAGTGATGAAGAAATATTTATTGACGTAGTCCAAACCTTGGCTCGTATTATCGCGAGTCTCAGGCAGAACGAATAAGATAGGATCGTTAGAAAATGCATCCGAATCAATTGAGATCGTCCGATCGCAAAACAATGTCTCATTGAAAATTGTTTTTCTCTCGAGCCGTATAATGACTTGACATTTTCCAGACGCTTCTGGATGAGCCGACTTCTTTTTTTGTAGAATTGCTGATGACTTGCAAGTGAATTTTCAATAGTTCCAACAACTTTGCGACGATAGAGGTGAACTTGGATTTATGCATTTACAAAAGTGTACATGTGCAATTCGGTAATTGGCTTACGGTGTGAGTACTGATTCTTGGGATGATTATCTAAATATGTCTAAAAAACAAGTTGTGATACGCTTTATGAATTTTGCAAAGGTACATTTGTTTTCCTATTTTTAATTTGTTATAATTAATATTTTTCATGTGTGTGTATATATATATAGTGTAAAATTTTAATTCCGATTATATGGAAGGTGTGATGGCACTACACAATGAAAAATATTTGCAAAAACCGTCATAGAATGACATTCAAAAAATATACTAATCTCATGAGGAAGTGCATGACTTCTCAAGATTGCTTGGTAGCATTGGTTGTATGCACTAGGAATGGGGGGAGTACCTAATGGCTTCGAAGGGCCAATTTCAACGGGGTGACCATAATTGCCCGACGTTGATGCTTGAATTAGTAGCGTCAAATGATCTTCGGATATGCATGTCTTAAAATGTATATTTAATATATTTGTCTTATATTTCGGTACTTACAGATGTAATTGGGAAGGTTGTTAGTCGAAGCTCACACAAAACTCGTATGGTAAAATAGGCACCAAAGCAAATGATGGAAGTTAATTGGAGGACTACAAGTATGTGAGAAATTATATTCAAATATTCATGACTTTTTTTCCCTAAGATTACATTATATACAAATTTGATTAGATATAATCATAAAGTATCATTATGATGTATTAATAATCTTACTTCATGAATCATTAATATTTTATATTTAAATTTTAATATGTAGGGGAATTTGGTTAAATTGTACATTGTGGGCAAATCATATTGATTTGTTGATCGATGGTTTCAACGAAACAGAATCATAACCTCTAATTCTGGTGATGCAAATGGTGAAACCTAGACTATACAATGGTGTCATTATTATATTATTTCAATATAAGTTTGAAAATAGTTGACACAAAAATTTAAGTCTAACGGTTGTTGTTTTTAATATTTTAGAACAAGTGTCAATTATAACATTTTATAATGTCATTGGCAATCTCTGAAACATGTTGGACTATAATTACGGAAACCAATATTTAGTCATGGATAACTTTATGTTGTAATTTCAAGAGTAATAAATCGTAGGGGCTTGAGGATTCTGATAAGCAACGAAGACAATGTTTCACAAATTGTATGAATAATGCAGTTTATATAGAAGTTTTTTGAAATTTGTAAAGCAAAAAAAATTTTGTATCTTAAAATAATAAAATATTTATATTTTATTGTATATCATTTCTTATAATTCTAAATTTATCTTAATTTAGTAACATAAATATGACTCGTGAAATGTACGGGTATGATACTAGTTAGATTTAAAATAGTAGGCCCAAGTCATCTGGATTGGATCGTGGTCCTGTGAAAAGGAAGAAGAAGAGAAAGGGAGAGCTTCCGAGAAAAAAAAGATAAAGAAAGTAAGTGTGGGCGTAAAATCCGTTCCCGTTGGACCGTTCCGAAAAATCCCGGATCCGTTTTGTAATTGTACCGATATATTGGGACACAATTTTTTGGTCCCGAACCCGTTACGTCCCAATATCAAATGGGGCATGAGCGGGACAGCTTAAATTTATACCGATCCGTCCCGTTTGTCCCGTTTCATCTACTCTACTAATATACAATACTAATTCTAGTCCAAAATCCAAATACACTGATTCCTTAATTAATTAGTTATTTAATTAAATTAACTTCATGAGCTTGAAATTTATTTGGACCCGTTTCACTCATTGTTTTTTGTTGGATGGCTAGATGTTTCTTTTTTTGAATGAAATTTCACCCTCTTCCCCTTCTTATATTTGCGATTAGGACAAAGTAGGACGACCCGAATCCGTCCCGTTTTATTCCGACCCCGAATTTTATGGGACAAAGCGGGATGAGATTGTAATCCGAACTATTCTGGACCGTTTATATATAATGGGACAAGACGTGGGACAACCTAAAACCTGGACCGTCCCGATCCGTACCCCGAAGAGAAAGGGAGAGAAATTCTCGAGTCTCGAAGAATTTATCCAAGCCGTGGCCATTTTCATTTCCTAGAAATAGAATAAATGGAAACAGGGAAGGTAGTGGTGGAAAGAGTGGGAGGAAAGTCTGTCGTCACTCAGTGCTTCGCCAAATATCCTCTGAAATTCATCATACCCAAGAAGGTTAAAACCCTTAAAAATTAGGCGATTTAGGTTTAGCAGCTGTGGCTCCCCTAATAACATTTTATCTGATTTTTTGTTGATAATTTTGTGTTCTTGAAGGTGGGTTCTTCGCAAACTGACGCTGTCTGGATTTACACCATCACCTATGGAGGGGGCATTGTCTCTGTATGCCTTTCTTCTTGCTCCTGCTGTTTAAAATTTCCAATTTCCCTTCTAAAAATAAGGGTCTTGTTTTAATTTTATTTACTGTATTTAAAACCTGTCAATTTGCACAACTTCTATGAATCATGAAATCCTAATTAGGCTCTACTTGGCTCCCAACTCCTAGTTGTTTGTGACTTTGTGTAAGTTGTTTTGGTAGATATTTATGCCAGCTTGTCTAGGAGAGAAACAACGTTGGATTATTTGGAATATGAACTGTCGTGAACTCTCCAGGGCTCTTAATTTACAAAGTTGTAGTCCCAAAAGAACTACGAGTATCTCCAAAACAAGCTTTCTGCAATTCAACTTCTTGGGACTAAAAAGTTGTTCTCCAAACACTTCTAGCAATTGTTTCACCAATAATTTTCCTAAAAAATCTCTCCGATCATCCCCTTGCGAAACACCCCCTTATTTCATTGAATTGTATTTTTTTGTTTTACCTAGATTGATCATATTTAACTTTTTGTTAATATTTTACATGAAAAAAAATCCCTTCTCTCTTTAGCACCCCAAACAGTTTGTGTTGGCCATTAATCTGCATTCGTTTGTAATGCTTATGGTGCAATCAGGGAGACTGTATATCATGTCTTTTTACAGTGGGAGATGGCTGCACAGCTGTTTTGACCACACAAGCATCGACAAAGGTCAAGTCTTTCATTTTCATATCAATCATTTATAAAATAATTAAAAGGCGATTTCCATGAAGTTTAATTTTATGGTCTCTTGAGTGGCCATTGTAGCAAGATTTTTTTCCCCTGTTTTTGTTTTCTTTTTGGTATTCATGGCAAATTTCTATGCCCTGAGTGCAGGTGTATAAGTCTGTTGAATCAAAGTGTTCGGAGCAACTCTTGGAGGTAATGGTTCAACATTGGGGAGTTAGTTTTTTATGTTTTCTTTTACTATGGAAACTGGAAATGAAAATGAAATCTGATTAATTTTTGAAAACTTGCGTATATTTAGATTTCTTAGTTTTGACGAAAAAAAGAAGTTTTCTTAGTAATGTTGGCTGGCATGCGTGCAGTAGGCAAGAGTGGGAAGCAGTTCTCTATTGGCTGTGATTCCGGATCCAGTGACATGTTTTTGCACTGCAAAGTATTCTCAGAGGCAAGTCTTTAGAATCTCACCAGACTCGAACTTGCTTCTGGTCGACTGGATAACCAGTGGCCGCCACGAAAGAGGAGAAAAATGGGATTTTGATCTTTACAAGAGCACAAACAACATATATTTGGATGGGGATGTGCCTTTGTTCCTTGATACAGTTATCTCTTCTTCTCCCATCTCCGTAATATTTCTTTGAAAGAAAAACAGCGTGTTCTTTTTTTATTTATGTGATGCAATGCTTGTGTATTGTTTTTGTCTAATTCTCGTGCAGTTAATGCTTGAAAAAGGAATGAGCAGCATTACGGAGCGCATGGGAGACTACCAAGTTTTTGCAATGCTCATACTTGTGGGGTAAGTGTAGCCAAGCAAAACCCCCTCCCTCTCAAAAAAAAACTCACACTTTCCTTTTTTGGTTATTCTGGAAGAAATTTTACCCTTTACCCATTTCTTTCCTTTTAAAGAACAGAATATGTGGCTCACCATGTTTCTCCCTCTCCTAAAACTAAATTTCAACCACCCACTTTTTAACACTTTTCTTAAACTCCGCGACTCGTGGGATCCAACTGGGTTGTTGTTTCTTAAACTCTGTGAATTGTGAAGTTTAATATGGGACGGAGGAAGTATATACTACAATCACACACTTGAAGTCTTTCATCACCCTTTTTCACACTACTACTGGTGCTACCTTTCAGTCCAAAGTTGAAACATATCCAAAACTATATCATGGAAGACGTGAAGACAATGATGTCTAAAAGATTACATGCTCCTTCATTTAGGCCGTTGGGACAGTGCGAAAATAAGCACAGATTGGCAAAACCAACTTTTATCGCTTCTTGCAGCACATTTGGTCCAGAGGTATCAGAGAACCCCTAAATTTGGCACGCAAACAATTTTTTTTTCCGGGGTGAACAAGTGGGTGCAATAGCAAGAGACCCTTCTTCCTATCTTTGTTTATTTCCTTTTTAGTTACTGTTTTGCAGGATATAGGTGTTGTTACTCGGATAGCATCGGAAACGACCGAATCGGTTTACAATTTCCTAGCTACTCAACTCTCTGGCTTGAAGCCACTGCTTGGGGTATCGCCATACTGCTGATTCTTCAGGTTGCAAGATTAGACTTTCAGATTGTGGTATTTTTGCTTCGTCTACCTCTAATTTTTCTTGAATCCTATTTACTTCGCGACCCACTTTTTCTTGTTGCCAGGAATGGGCTGTCTTGATGTATGTTTCTGTTTACAGCAAACATTATGTGGTTAACATTGTTTTTTTCTTCTCCTATTTCATAAATCTTAACTGCATAGTTTACTTTTTCTTTCCCTTAATCTCTGTGTCTTGTTTAGTCATATTGGTCTATGACAACTTGAACACAATATATATGCTCCAGGAATTCAATCGGAGATTCTTCCTTCTTTTTTCCGAGCATGGTACGCCGTATCTATCTTCTTTTTTCCCAGCCACACGTCAGAATACTCCGATGAAGTTGGTGGAAATTCCACCCCATCTCTCCCCCCTTCTAGCCCTCTCATTTCAAATATTTTGGTTTTGTGCGCAATATATACTATACAACCGGTTATATTGTGTTTTTCGTACATCTGCTGTGAGTATTCATTTACGAGTAAATGAATATTTATTTTCGAGCGATTGAATACTTATTCAGTAATGCTTGAAAATGAGCATTCAATTATTTGACAATGACTTTTCTATTAGTCGAAATGAGTATTTATATACTCGAAAATGAGTATTTATGCGGATGTACATGAAATACCGTATATCCAGATGTATGATATAGGTACTCGCTTCTATGTATTAGTTTGAAATTTTAGGGAAAATGCTCTCCATTATTTCCAATAGTGGCGCACTTAAGAAGTTAAGAGTAATATATCCCCTCCCTTGCAAAAAAGGGAAAAATGTGAAAAAATTATGTGTACTGTTAGAACTTATTTAAAAAGTAGTCCTAGTGTGTCATGTTTTAACATTTTAGAGTGAATCAGGATCAGTTCTATGATTAAAATAAATATAATTATGTACAGTATTAATTAGATAAATAAATATTTTACAAGAGAAGTTCAATAAAAAAATATCTATCAATATCTAATAGTGTATCAACTTTATTTAATAATGGTCAGGACATGTCAATTTTGACATCAAAGAGTCAAAATTGAACAAATAATTTGGGGAAAATGTAGTACTATGCTTCATGTTTCCTACGTACTCGAGTATTTGTTCAGTTTTGATTTTTCTTATTCGAAATTGGTAAATTTTGATCTCAAATTAAACACAAATCATATTAGATATTGATACAAAAATAGTTTTATTAGATTTATAATATATAATATCATCAAAATATTATTTTATCTAATTAATATACAATATACTCCGTATATTTTATTTAATTATACGTCAAATGTTGAAAATGGTTAATGAAAAAAAGTCAAAATAAGACAAATGGACGGAGGTAGTATATTTTGTTTTTCGAATAGAAAATGTGAAAAATAAATTTGGATTGCTTAGTTATCGTCTAATTATTTTAAAATCCTAATGGAGTTGGAACATAGGTCCCATTTGGCATTAGCGTTAGAGATTAGCGTTAGCGTTTTGAAAAGGCTATCCGACGGTAGCCTTTAGCGTTAGAGATTTCAGAATTAATCTACACCATTAAAATTTTATCCAAAATGTTAATGCTAATAAAAAACGATGTTCCCAAACAAGGCCATAGAAATACGTTCGAGGAATACTACGGAGTACTACCGATTACTTCTATCCCATTTAAGAGGAGTGTTAGCATTATCACTTCAAAAAAAGATTGATGCTTTTCCCCGTCTTCAAATTAACTTGACACCCGTATAACAAATAATACATGACAATAATGATTTTTAATTCATTTTATTTAATTATCTGTGTAAATTTAAAAACAAAATTAGATATCTAAGAACTATATAACTTTTTCAATAAACACTGTTGGACTTTCGGGAGGGACAATAATGCTACGAGGCATCGTTGGAGAACCGGTACCTGAAAGATCGTGAAGAAACTTGATGGATTAAATGAGTTGTAAAATCACTTTCATATTAAAGTTATTTCAGGATATATATCAAAATACTTCAATCGAATAACACATTGGTATTTAGTATGAAAGATTTGTCGTGAATCAAACATACCCCAGGACTCCATATTTATAGAGCACAAATTGATCGGACACGTCTGTTAATGAAACAACACAACTTTACGCAGAACATTTGAATGTTAGGCCTCAACTTTCGAATGCATGAAGCAGTTATGTTAAAGATATCATTTCAGAAGTTTTTTGCACGAACCATGAACTTTCAAATGCATGAAGCACTTATGTTAAAGATATCATTTGAATGTTATGCCTCAACATTCGAATGCTTAAGAGTAACATTCAAATGTATTTTGTCTTTCAGTACGGAACGCATGAATAAATATTACATTCAAATGTTTGACTTTATACATTTGAATATACATTATTTTGAATTTTGTTAACACAAATTCAAAAGATTTTCATAAGGCAACAATGTCCAAAATAAAAATTTTCGAGCCATGGGCTCAATCCCTTAGACCCCGCTACGGAATTTATAATATCGTTGAACGAACGTGCATTCTACATTAACTTGTTAACACCTATTAAAATTATCGTCTGATCTGAGCAAATCAACTATACAAAATAACTAATAACACTAAAATTATTAAGTATTACAAGTAATACATAAAAACGTGTAAATAAATGAGATATAATTTCACTTAATAATTGTAAAATTTATTTGAAGACGGAGCATTTTCTTTTTCATACTCTTATAAAGCAATAAGAGTATTATTACTGAGGTCTTTAAATAAGAGCAAATTCTGTCATGATTCTTAGGTCCATACTCATTTTATGAATTTTAATACTCCCTCCGTCCTATATCTTTCTTCCCGTTGCGCAAAACGAAGAAAAATTCCAAGTTTTTTCAATCTATTTTATTTAAATATTGGTATAGGAATAAAAAATAAAACATACAGTACATATTTAAAAACTACATCAAAAGTTCAACAAAACAAGTGGTGACAAGAATATTTTATTTTATCATGTAGGCCATGAAAAAACACAAATAAATATAAATTCCCGTGAAGTTGGAATAGTACTTTGGGAAGAAAGTTTTAAGACGGAGGGAGTACATAAAATAGTTTTATGTAATGAGTTGTAAAAAAATCAACCATGGACCCACAAAAAATTTGTGAGAAAGTCTAGATTTCATAACACCACTCTTAATTACCCCGTAAGATTTTATATTTGACAAAAGGAGTATGATTTTTTAAGAAGGTTTTCTAAGTCCACAAAATGAACCAAATATTCTTGCAATTTCAAGTTACGGAGGTACCCCTACAATCTTTAACTCCCTTCGTCCCATGGTGGGGGGGGCATGGATAAGCAAAATTGTATAGTTGATATTGAAATTAAATAAGAAGAAAAAGTCGTACAAACATTAATATATAATATGCAAAAAAAATGGGGAACAGCAAAACAGAAAGAAGAAAGAAAATGGAGAAAAAAAGTTGGAGTGTAGAGTATATAAATCAAGACAATTTGAACCAAATGTCTTTGCATTTACACCAAATACAACCCAAAATGAAGAGCAAAGGGAAAGAATGTCTTCAAAACCTGATTGTTTGGTTCAAAATGTGGTCTTTAAAACAAAAAAATCTAAATCGAGATTTCGCAAGGAGCGTGGAATGTTCTGCCGCGGCAAAGGGCTTCCAAATCTTCTCCAGCATATGAACACAGAGGTGAAACTTCAACCCCTGAAAATTAGTGAGAAGGGGTCAGTCAAACTTCTTGTTCCAAGTTCCAACCTATACATAACCATAAGAAAGAGCGAGTAACTACTTACCCGTTGAATATAAGGGCACTGAATGTGTTAGGAAGCCACCAGCCGCTACCACCCAACGTGTATGGAGGCGAAGAACAAGCAGTCTGAAACCAATGTTTTGAAAAATATTTATGGGAAAATATTGACTGATAAAGTGTGGAATTGATTAATTTTTATTATTAAATACTCCATCCGATCCCGCCCGGTATAACACAGTTGATTGAGCACTGTTCTAAATAAAGGTGAAAGTGTGTGAGAGATAGAAATTGTGTGAACCACTCAATTCCTCCGCCAAATGGAAAAAGGAACTTTGTTTGTGACAAATAAAAAAGGAAATGTGGAAACAGGACTCAAGAAGTATGATAAATCAGCATCTAAAGTCCTTAACACTATGTTTGGTTCAAGAAATTTCAAATGGAAAAGAGAAAAAAATAAAAAGAAAAATAGTTTTTCTTGTTTGGGTAGAGAGAAAAAGGAAAGATAAGTAGAAGGAAAAGTATGAAGAAATGAACTAAAGAGAAGGAACAGTAAATATAAGAAATGAACTAAAGAGAAGGAAAAGAGGTTTCTTCCTTCCATTTTGATGAGGAAAATGAGAGAAAATCATTTTCTTTTCTTCTCCTTTCGAACTCCACGAACCAAACATAGTGTAAGGTAAAGAAAAAAAGGAGATGTAAATTCATCAAATGTCAAACAGATCACCACACATGTACTGTAAATCTGTAGTTACAAATAACCCAACCAAGGTTATAGGAATTATACCTAAAACAATTCCTAATGGAAAGGCTTCTAACATATAGATTTGATAAGACCTTTTTTTAAATGTGATTTGATAAGATCCCAAGAAAGGAAGTATTGCAAAAATAGTAATTGATGAGAGGGATATTTTAGTCCTTACCTTGCACTATCTGGAGTGTCAAAGTTTGTCCCATTTGCATTTTTCACTGGAGCAAATTCTTCTTCCCTCAGCACCTATAGATAAAATGAGTTAGGAATCATCAATGTATCAATTGGCTTTGCAATGTTAAAAGAAATCGCAGGTGTGATTCATGGAAAAATGTCAAAATCGATCAACCTCAAAGAGTGCTGTTGAAGGAGTATAAGGAAATGCATCAAATATGAACTGCTCTAGTTTGTAGCCCATTGTATGCCCATGGATTGACGCTATTTTCTTCTCAGCGAGATGATAGATGCTGTCTTTCTCAAGTCCATTTGCTACTAGATTCAGGAAATCCAAAGTGAACATATGCAAGCAAACATTACTCCAACAAAAACGAAGACGGCTAGTTTCCTGGTTGGTTGCGCTTGACAATTGTGGATCCAGTTCACTATATTCAACCACGGAGAGAGGCCCACCTTTGCCTCGTCGTACAAACACACCAACCTTTTCTTGTGGGTATGCCTGCATTCAAAATCAAGGATAAGACGAAACATCGATAATCAAAACTTCAAAAGCATAATATCAGCTCACCATCCCCTATAGAAATGACCACCTAAGAATGAATTGATGTAGCGAAAGATGGGACTTCCATAGTTTCTCAGTCAATTGATATCTTAGTTCAAGTGATTTTTTGCAAATGAACTTGGAACCCAATTTATCATGATTTGAATGTTGAAATAGCCATTATGACATTGAAATAGATAACTTAGAGAAACATCCTAATATACTATCATCAGCTTCAAAAACTCTGGCACATCAAGAGCAAAAATAACAGAAAAATCGTTCATCACCTGTAATGTCTGTCTCTGTAGATACCTAGAAGAGAGCAAAGGAGCAAGGCACAGGATCTGGACCAAGTGAGGGGTGCTAAAGGTCTAAAGAAGAAGATGAAAAGGTCTTGATGAATTTAACAAAGGCTAGAGACCGATGAGTGTCCACTTTAAGGTGAGCTGGGCAGTCTCATAGTCATCAAAGATTTTAGGTACTGTTGGGCCAGTAGACACAGAAACAGGTGCTGAAAACTATTGGGAAGATTAAAAGGGGTAGAGCTTTGGGATTGGATGAGATCCGGGTGGAGTTTTGAAAAGATCATGAACAGAGATGGGGTATAATGTGGATCACCAGGTTGCTTAGTGTTATTTTCAAAACGACTAAAATGCCTAACGAGTGAAGGGGGAGAGCGTGGTGATCACATTGTATAGGGCAAGGCTGATACCCAGAACTGCACTAGTTATAGAGGCAACAAATTACTCGGTCACACCATGAAGGTGTGACAACGAGTAGTAGAGGCAAGGATGCAAAAGGAGGTGAACACTTCCAAGAATCAATTTGCTTTAATGCTTGGTCGATATACCACAAAGGCCATTCACTTCTTGAGGAGACTGATGGAGCACTATAGGGAGAGGAAGAAGGACCTATACGTGATGTTTATTGACTTGGAGAAGGCACAGTACCCACTTTCTAGGGAGATCTTATCGAGGTGCCTAAATCAAAGAGAGTTGCCTACGTATGAGTTGTTAAGGATATTATGATGAGCAAGGACCAGGGCGAGATTGGTTGGAGGTGACACAGACCACTTCCTAGTAAAGATGGGTTCACAAGAGGGGTCTACTATTAGTCTTTTACTGTTTGCCTGGGTGGTGGATGTTTTGACACATTCAACAGAAGGTACTTAGGCGCATGCTATTTGTGTATGTCATTGTTCTAATTGACAAGACAAGTGAGAGACTCGATGCTACGTTGGAGGTGTGGAGAGACTGAGAGAGACCTTGAAATCCAAAGGTTTTAGATTGAGCATGACTAAGACCGAGCACATGGAGTGTGCTTCAGTGGATGAACTGGTCTTAAAGAAATAATTGGAAGTACCAGAGTAAAAAAAGTATACATGAGCTAGATGAACTGGTCTTGGAGAGTTGGATATGTTGACAATAGAAGAAATTCAGTATGACCTCAAAACTTGGTTTAGACTGATGATACTCATCATACTCGATAAAGGAAGATGATGATGTTACCTGATTTGTGAGATATAATCCAAAATAGATGATCATAGATTTAGGGCAGAACAACGGCTAAAAAATGGTGAAAAATCACTGGAGCTCACCAGAAATTTTCAGAGAGCTCACTTGAACCCATGTGAAAGATGGATAATTTAATTAAATAAGATGATGCCATAGGAGTGATATAAATCTTCTAGATGGCATAATGCTAGAAAAAATTATACACTTTCCCTTTAATAGTAAGAACAAGATATTTCACAAGTATATGATTGAACTTTTAGCAATGTTAACTTGAAAAGACTTCTTTGGTTAGACCTACGACACTGAGTTGACAATACGGAGTGTGTGTGTGTGTGTGTGTGTGTGTGTGTGTGTATATATATATATATAAAATTTGGAGCACGTATTCAAAGTTTAATAAAAGAAATATCAAATTAAAGAAAATTCTTACCTTTCTTACAACTTTTGCAGCAGCAGGCACACCCTTATCAATGAAATAACCCAAAAAGGTTGGATCTGCAACTCGGACCTGTTTGAGTAGTAGTATTTAATATATGCTTGATATATAATTTCAATCATTTGCTCATGTTTAACTTCAATCGGACAAAAGAAACTCGATACAAAAAAAAGGTAGAACTAACCAAAGCATTGTCAACCCCATAACAATCTATATATTTAATGCCTCTCGTTGACATTTCTTCCAATAACTTCTCATACTTCAATGCTGAAACATAGTTCAGGTTGAATTACTCCAACATAAAGAACTTAAGCTCGCTATGTACAATAAGGATAAGAGGAAAACAAGAAAGGGAATCCAATTTACATAAATCCCACCCTTATTGAACATGTAACCTACCAGTATAAACTCCTCCATTCCCGTCAGGAGACTTGGCTACCTGGATTTCAAAGCAAATGTCACATGGCAGTTAGAAACTTAGAATGGTAATAAAATAATATTCCATATACTAAGAAAAAGAGGGTAAGGGCATCGGAAACTTTTGAGTCAGGTCATCATCCATATTTTTTTCCGTGCACATATCTAGTGTAATTGGCTACGAGCCTACGACAATGAGTCATAGAATCAGTCACATGACAAAATCAATTTATAAGATCCCTTGCACACTGATCTTGACATCTCCATTAGCATTCTCCCAACTATATGACAGCTTTGTTCACTACTGTATTAACATGTCATCTTATTTCATGAAAAATATGTGGCCCTGATATCCACCAAGGGTTGCACATTTGATAAGGGGGAAAAGAGGAGAAAGTAGGAGAAGCAATATGCCTGAAAAGATATATGTGGTTTGCATATGATCTAATGTTAACAGCCTTCATTAATATATTTTGTTGCAAGTAAAGATGACTTCCTGTGAACAGGTAGCTCAAAGCATATGACCTGAAAACCACAATGTTTTATCAAGATAGGAAAGAAATCACCATACTCTATATGGAGTCTCCATTATAAATCGTCCATCCTTTGAGACACATGGAATTGTTCCCTGTTTGAAGAATGTAACCTGCACCCAAAACAGTTCTGTTCATTCCAGGTGACCCAAAAATCAACTATTAGATATGGTCATATGAGACCAAACATCAAATAAAAAGATAGATTGAGTAATTACTTGATCTTCATTGAGGCCAAAATATTTATAACATTCAAAAAATTTCCGTGTGGGTTCATCTGTGAATGGACTAGTCATGATATACCAGTGGATTGGAAGAATGCCAGCACCTGTAAGTTATGTATTCCTCAGAACACAAAGGATCTTAGAATTAACATCCAGCTGAGAATTAGTGAAGCACACCTTCATTTGCTGATCTAGCTGCTAATCTTTGCACACGCAAAATTCTCTCAGCTTGGATCTGGAAAAGTGATTTCCCAGACGGAAGTCCAATATCTGCCTTTGAAGGAAAGATCATTAATATATGTTTGTCTTGTCATTTAGTTTGATAGAATTGGATAAGACGTCACCAACAAATTATAAAGTTTCAAAAAATGTTAGTGTATAGAGAAATGGAAACATTCATCTGCTAGTTGAATCACATTCATGAAACTCAAGTATAATGAAGCACGGGTGGACCCAACATGTAATTCCTAATGAATCCTTCACAGAAATATTGAAGGAATCGATTAAACTCCCCTTTCTTGAAAGAATCCAACAAAAGAATCAAGGATGTTTGACAGAAGCAAATGAAAATTAAAATACTCACTGAAACATCCTTTTGGATCTGAACTTCCAAGTCGAGTTCCCTGCAACATAAACCATTTTTAAAATGCCAAAAGAAAGACCTAGATGTAACAAACATAATGAGATGCATAAAGAACACATTAGGGGCAATGTCTCTTTTCTATGTAGCTTGAGCCGAGGGTCTCTTGGAAACATCCTCTCTACTTCCGAGTAGGGGCAAGGTCTGCGTACACACACCCTCCACAGACCCTTGTGGGATCCAACAAGGTTGTTTGTTGTATAAAGAACACATTAGAAAAATATGAGTAATTGAGTATAAGGCTGTATAACAACCCCCTTTTTAGTGCATTAAAAAACTCATGAATATTCGGGGGGGTAGAGTGGAGCTGGTGATGAGCTCCATTCATGTTATGCTACAAAATATTGATAAGATCATAAGAGTATTTGGTAAGCGTAAAAATTTAAAAAAGTACATGATACACCAACCAACAAGTCAACAACACTAAAAAAAACCCAGTATAAGCCAACTTTCTTGGTGTCTGGGGTCAAGACATACACAGCCATACCCCTATAAAAACAGTTTGGCTATTTTGGTTAGACATTGATGCATTGCTACATTTACTATCCAAAACTTCATAGAAAGTAAGAAGGAATTAAAGCCTAAATTAACCATTAAAATTTAGCCCCCCCCCCCCCGCCCTGAAGGTATAACATTGTCAAAATTGACTCCTTCAGCTACATTGGCAAAGGACGGGTGATCAAAACTCTCATGAGTGCAGAGAAGAATGGTAATGGGGCGGGGCAGTGGCAGATATAGGCGACCCCCATACCCACCTAGAAATTTCTATCCCACCATGCTTAACACCATTCACAGGTTAGATTTTTTTATACCACATCCATCATGCAGATTTAAACTTCCACCTGCCCCCACTAGCCCACCAAAATCCGTAGAGTCAACATTGATTTAGATTAAAATTAAATCTTTCTTAATAGAATAATTTATTTGCAATAAATAATACTCCGTAATAAAGATACAAAAAGATTTTATTTAGATAGAAAAAAGACCAAAAGTATAGAAAAAGAATTGGGAATTTTATACTCTGGCCCAAAAAACAAAGTCACAGTTTGACTTCTAGGGTCTCTAATTCAACATGTTGACCACTACTATTTATGGCTATATTTAATAAAAATATACAGATTAAATATATTCTAAAACTACAATTATAAAAGAATTCAATGACATTAAAGTTGGATTAAAATTAATGAATTTTGTATGTTAATGATGGTCAAAGTTTGTAAACTTTGACTGAAAAAGGCCAAATTGTGACTTCTCATTGTGGTTTACGATGTTTGACTTAAGTTATTTTCAATTCAATGTATTTCAAATTTGGAGTGAATAAAATATAAAATCTATACACTTAAAAAATTACATCAAAAGTTTGACAAAAAAAGAGGTAACATGAGTATTTTATTTTAATTTATCAAATGAGTAACAAAAATAGGCAAAGAAAGAGAAAGAAAGTGAATATTAACTGTAAAGTTTTTTTATGGTATGGAGAGAGTAGATAGATATGATTGGGTTTAATTTATATAGTTTTAAAATATATATTATTAATACATAGTTAGAGGCAGTGGGCGATATTAGGTGGGTCAATATCTGACGGGGTTAGAGCCACATTCATTATCGCCCATTCGCCCTACTGACCCATGACAATATAATTGTAAACCCACCCCGCCCAGTTAGCCATCAAAGTACCATCCATGTTCACACCAACTCAGTCGGATGTGGGGCAATATCCAGCTCTATATACCCCACTACCATCCCTAAGCTTAGAGTGCAAGTACTTATATTCCTTTCATATAGTATCAATGATATGTGATGCATATCCTAGACCTCCTATGTGACACATCACCTCAAGGAACTATATAAGGGAAGAAATAGTCAAACCCACTAAATCACTAAATTCACCCCATCTGCCATTGACAATTTGACATCTTGACTTGATATGAAAGTACATGTTATCCCTAGTATAATAGTCTCCATCCCCTTAACCACACTAAACTCCAAGCCCATTCATAGCTCTCTACCGGCGATCCTGACCCTCCGGCTCCTTCCCTTCGCTTACCCACTACCTCTGCATGTGATGCATCTTATCATATCATATATAAGAAGCAAATTTCCCTTGTTTGAAGACACCGTAAAATTTTCTGCAGCCATCATGTAACAAATACAGTTTAAGGATGTGACTTTGATTCGCTGGACAATGCAAGTTTTTCATTTCTGGCTAATTGCTTAGATCAATTTATCTCCACGGATAACTATTTCAAATTTGATGCTCTATAATTATCATATATTTGTATTTCAATACAATTAGTTTATCATTTCAAACAACTACGACCAAATGGATAGCGATTTTGGACTTTAATCCGGCTGGAGAAATGTCGACCGTGGCTTCAATATGTGCGAGGAATCTTGGATTAGCAATCAAGGTTGCAAGGGCATCAGCAACGATGACACAAGTGGCCAAGCTTCGGATTTTATTCTAAAGCAGCGTAATAATGCCACAAAATAGGCGAGTATAAATTTTTTAAATATCGTGGAGTGAATCTATCAAGTAGGGAGGATTTAATTATATAGTAGGCTGTGACTATCACCTCCCGTATTAGAACCATCATTAATCCCATAGTTATCATCTTTAGTAGAAGGTGCAACCTATTTAAGGTTTAAACCATCATAAAGGCCCTGTTAAGTAATGGCATTTCAACAAAAAACCGATCAGCATCTTACCTGCCCACCAGATAAGAGCAACACAGCTAGCTTTCCTTCAGCAATGGCCTTCATACCAATATTCCACCATCTATCTCTATCTTCCATCGTCCGATCATCCACAGTGGACACACAGCTTTCTGGCACTGGCTCAATTGCTGATGCCGGAAGGCCTTATGTTTTAAAAAACAAATAAGAAATAGGTAAAACTACTAAAAACCTATCGAACTGGGTGACCTAAAAAAGGAAAAAAATTGTGAGTGAAGACCTTGAAAGCAAAAGGAGCACCGTATAATCCTATCAATCCTTGGTAGATCTATATTCTGCAAATGATTACATAAAAATAACAACAAATCCTTAAAAGATTGAATATGCATTTCTACAAAAATGTAATACAACCTACATGAACGCATCTCAAAGTTATAGGGAAAATTAATAATTAGAATTGCATCCATATTGAAAATAAAATGAGCACTTCCTATATATATATATGTGTGTGTGTGTGTGTGAATGTATATATATATATATATATATATATATATGTATGTATGTATGTATATATGTATATATATATATATATATGTGTGTATATATATATATATATATCTGTGTGTGTGTGTCATATTGACTTCCATGGTTAATTTTATTCGTCTACACTTTCCTACACCGATGAAAACAAAAGTCAAAGCTAATCTTTTACAGCACACATAAACATTAATTCAAGAAGAACAAATCAGATTCCAATTTCAACTCCAATTGGTCAAAAGGAGCTCTGAGATCAGGAAAAATTCAAATTCACGAGAAGAGAGCTGAAATGAAAACGCATCAACAATTGGAATAAGAGAAAAGACCTCAATGTCTTTGACGAGAAGGTCGCGTTTGTCAGGGGAGAGCTCATCCCAGAGGGCAAAAGCATCTTCTTGGCCATAGTCTTTGAGCCTCTCAAGCAAGGCCAGGGGCGGAGGAAATGCGGTGGCACTAGTGTCGGTCACCGGCTCCCTCATTTGCTCTCTAGAAGTGATTTTCTCAGTGTTAAACCCCTAACCCGAATAAATTGGTTAGCGAACCGGGTTGTCACTGATTGGTATCCAAATACAATGATTTAAAAAACATGTAAGTAAAAGACAAACATTTCAAAAAATTCAATTAATTTACCAAGTTAATTTCAAACCGTGCGAAAACTTAATAGAAGTTACCATGCTATTAAAATAGTCAAACCATAAACACCTTTAAATTGATCCGCATCCAGACATTCTCTTATGTCTCTTTGCCCTCCGGGAGTAGCTACAATAAACACCTACGTGAATTCAAAGACAACAAAGATTGCACGCTCAGCTGAAAGCTGAGTGAGAATATATCTAATGCTATAATTAATTCACAGGCATAAACACATTCATATATAATCATACAAAATCCGTAAATAGACAACATTATTGTTCAAGGTCATGATTTCAACATTTCTAATTCAGTTCCTCATAACTAGCTGGTAATGAACCTACACCACCGAGGCTTCAATTCTACAAACTAGAGTTATGGATACTCGAGCGGATCCCTCAAGGTCGATGCTCAAAAAAACCCAAAGAGGATCCTCAATGGGCGAGTTGGAGTCCCTACCAAGGGATTCATTAGGGATATGCAAGTACGCTTCACAAGGCCCGAACCTAACAAAGTCGTATTAGTGTTAAGCTATTCAATTCAGTTCAGATCTGCCTAGATATACTAGGTGGCCTATTCCTCAATTACTGTTCATAGGACAACAGTAACACCAATAAGCTCAAAACAATTCACATAATCAGAACAATACATTCAGCCGCCTATCGAGAGAACCACGTCTCACTGATTATCGTCATGCTCAACAACAAAATAAACCCTAGGTAACATTTAATAAACTGAACTGTGTCGCAAATTCTGGACTAAGGACTCCATCCTCAGGCCCGCTGCACATGCAGTAACAGTACAATCGCCACCGGATCAGCCCGGTAACCCACCGGACCAACCCGACGACCCAAACCCAGGCCCATCAGGCGGCTGCCCACCGCCCGGAAGCCCTGCTGCCAACTCGGACAGCTGGCC